TTTTTTTTTTTTTTTTTGATAGTTACAAATAACTTTTATCATCTTTTCCTGGCATTCCACAGTTTCCTCAAGTGATTGATCTTTGTCCGACTCTGATACCAAATGTTACGTATACGAATTTTCTATAACGAAATGTGAAACAATGAAATAAAAACTAGGAAAGCAATGAAGAAAAGTAGGTTAATTCGAGGAAACCTAAACTTTTCAAAATATTATTTTCTTCCCAGAACTATAACCTCCTAAGACAAACACTACAATTGCAAAATAATTCATTTACACTTTATTCCTTAAATCAATATGATTTAAAAACAAAATAGAATCCCCCCCCCCCCCCCCCCGCCCNTTAAAAACAAAAAAAAATCCCCCCCCCCCCCCCGACGCCCCTAAAACTAGGTTTACTGTACTTAGCTTCCTATCTCTCACTACCTACTAAATAGCTAAAATTAAAACACTAATGATAACTCACATAAATACGAACTTAGAGTAACTCAAAACTAAATAAATCATAGTGTGTCGTAAAATAAAATCGTAACATAATCAAGATTCCTCAATTCCACATTATTCATTCTCCTTGTACTTGTGTTAGAACATCAATACTCCCTTGCCTCTTTGTTTTGCCAGCTGTTCCTCCTAAATGCCCTATTTGTTTCACTCTAGGAAGCACGGGTACTCCTCCCATGGTGACATGCCAGAGACTTGTATGTAACACCAACAAATAGTATAAACTCCGAGACTCATATCATACCCACATTATTTCGCCTTATTTTATGTATTTTCTCGAATTTTCAACGTAACGGATACTTTCCCAACATGCCTCGCAAACATGTCTTTTACACATTGGATATATTCTCCACATTTGAGAATTCATGTTAGAGAATCTACATAATAGGAGATATTGTAGGAACATTGTGTCTAATATGTTTATGTGTTCTTTATATATGAAACTTTTTATTTGTTTTACTAATAAAACATGTACAAAAAATAGTCACTTTCCATTTTCAAATGATTTCACCTCCAAAATTTAAAATTAAAGCCTAAAAAAGAGTATTAACCCTTGTTTGGTCCATATTATTTTCAAA